AAATTCAAATTGCTTACTGATCGATTTGGAAACTAATGTGGTTACACTGAACTTGTTCTTAACATAAATGGCAACGCCACCACCTTTATTAGGCCGGTCGGTACGATACACATTAAAACCATTTAAGGCAATGTCAGAGGCCAAAATAGATTTGTTTAGCCATGTTTCTGATAAAACAATGATGTCAGCGTCAGTTGAGCTCGCCCAGATACGGACACAATCTAGTTTATCTAACAGACTGCGCACATTCAAGTGGATGAAACCCAACCCAGACCTAGCTTTAAAATCAGCAGGAGTAGCGATCTGACTACTACTACTGGGCGGACCAGGGTTAGGTTGTACATTTCCTGACAGTAATAACAAAAAAAAAAAAAAAACAGGCATCTTTTCCTCTTAAACGACACACATACATTGTCATCTAATTTAGAAACACCGGAAAAGTCTGTGAGAGTGTGATTTGAGCTTAAGAAGCAGTCCTGAAGAACCATCATCACAAGAAAACAAAAAAGACAACAATATTTTGTCGAGCAGATTGTCTGTGACAAGGCAACCGGTAATTGTTTGAGCAACACATCCGAACCTTTGCAGGGGATGCCCACTGCGGGTGGCAGAACAGACCTGAATCCAGTAGACTTCTCAGAATGACTAGAGATCTTCTCATAGTCCAAAACAGTTAACAGGCACAGCAGAATCCCGATATGGGCCATTTTCCCAGACCAGCACACAGTATCCGCGATGTTCCTTGAGCAAAATCAGCACAGCAGCAAAGGACAGGCGAAAACCGCAGCGTGGAAGCGCTCCGGTCCCTCCGTGGTATCCCCGGGGTGAAAGCAGGCCTCTGCAACAGCAGAACCAGGACAGGTGGAAAGCAGGCCCCAGCGGTGGTAAAATCCTCCTCCGTACAGCAGCACACGCTCGGTGGAAGCAGGCCAAGCCCGAAGCGTGGATCCACTCCGTCTCTCCGCGACGACTCCGGGGTAAAAACCTGTCCAGTACAGCCGTATTCTACAGGTGGGAGCAGGCCTCCATAGATCGCAGATCGCAGGCAGCAAGAGGTGGAGCCGCTCCGTCTCTTCGCGACGAGCAGGCCTCCGTCGCGAAGTTTGGAAGTAACTTGCCCAACACTGCTCAAGACATTTCTGTGTGTGTATGTGTTTAAATGACTTTGCAGTGGCATTCAGTCCTACATTAAATTCTGACTTCAGAAATGTGTTGGTTTTGACCAAACTAAACCATCTAATTCTGGGCTTAAACACCAACTCTTAAAGTAAGTTTTCACAACTTTTAGGTTATGTCCAGCTCAAAGATGCTGAGTTACTCCGCTTCACAATAACTTCACAAATGTCCTTTTTGTTTTTATGTTTGAAGATCATCTGGTTCTTTGTCAGTTGAATTCATAGGAATTGAAGGTAAGCTGCTGTGGCCTTTACTAAAATACACAGCATAGAATCACGGCAAGTCTTTCTCTGTCCACTCTTGTTTTGTCCAGACATGCCAGGGTGCAGCATTGAGGACAGGAAATTAATGTAAACTGCTAATCCTCTTCCAAGTGTTACTAAATACTTGATTCACCTACACCTGAATTTGTCTAACCGAGTAAACTAACATTTCTGTTTCTTTGCATTTGGAGGAAAGGGGAAAATGTCTGATTTAAAGGTCCCATGTCATGCTTTTCCGGTTATTACCCGTCCCCTTGTGTGTTATGAAGGTTTTTATGCATGTAAACGGTGTGCAGAGTCAAAACCCTCAAAGTACACCCTGTAGCGAGTAAAACTCTAACACAGAAAATACCTCCCCAAAACGTCTCGTTGGAGATACGTCATTGTCCATTTGATTCTTCCGGGTACGCATGATGTCATGCGTTACCCGGAACCAAATAGACCAATCCGTGGAGCCGTTACGTCCGCGGAGCCGTTACGTTAAGCCCTCGCTGATTGGTCCAAATTGACCAATCCACGGACTTCCTCACACACACACTCAGTGCAGGCAGCTCTGCTGATTTCTCCTCCCTGGCTGCAGGCTGATAACAGACAGTTGGGATCGCGGCGAAATTCTCTCTGCAGACCTATTCTCACAGCGTTTATCAACCTTTTTCTTACTCAATATCAAGCCACACTTATTGTTTTTACTTCGGCTGTGACTTTGTGTGTGCTCAGGGTGAGTTTGGCTGTGTTTCGCTGTGTATCGCTAAACAAGGAAACCACACCTCCACGGAGCTCAGCCCGATTCACAACGTCCCGACCAATCAGAGCACACTGTGCTCACAGGGAGGGTGGGGGCTGGAGCTATTGGAGCTACAACGAGCCGTTAAAGGCAGAGAGTGCAATTCAGTGAATACACGTAGTTTACAGAGATGCTGTATGAGAAACCAATGTGAGTTTGGGAAATTGCACAATATAAATCTATTCCAGTAGACCTCAACAATGGAATTATGATCAGTGGAAATGGCCATGACATGGGACCTTTAATACCTGGACCTTCTTTTACAGCGTGTCCTTGTCTTTTGAGACATACATGTGGTATCACTGCACTTATGATGTGATTATAATCAGATTGAGCTTGTTCTTCAGGAGTTATTGTTGCCCTTTCGATGTAGGCACCCTGCTGGGTTTTGACCTGAGCAGTTGACCAGTCACTGTATCCCTGAAGGTTGTATTACAAATGCACAACCACATCTCCTCCTACTGTTTAACATGGTAACTATGCTGACAAGATGCATGTCTTTCAATAACTAAATGACAAGGTAGACCTCCACTATGTGCCATGCTGCTATTCCAGGGGGAAAATAGCCCCATTAAATAAATCACAGAAATGATCTGGAGAGACCCTGTTCAGTTGTTTTGGCTAGCCTGAATTGATCAGTTTAGTATCTACAACATGTTGGATGTCAGTTAGGCATGTGACCAACCAATAACTGTCTTCCATGCAATGATGTAAAATGGTTACAATGATCTTTTCAAATACCTTTTAGAATGTGTAAAAATGGTGTTATAACTATTAGAAATTGTAACAGATCAGCTGTGTCACGCACTAGTAATCGGAAATAACACTGTTGTTGTGGGTTTACAACAGTTATTGTTCATATGCATTATATGCCACAGGTGTGTTACTCTTAATCTGTGATCCCTCTCACTTGCATACACCACATGACCCTGTACACGCCTACACTATGCTGTAATGCCAACTGCCTTACTGTCCCGCTTCCAAGTCTGTCCCAAACTGTCAACTATCAGGATCAGTGTGGGTGTGTCACTTGGAGAACTCATTAGCTGTAAGCCTGCAGGCATGAAAACGGGTCAGGGGTGAAAAAGGTGAGAAGGATATTATCTCTCTAGGGGGGTCCGGCGGCATGCTCCCCCGGAAGAAAATGTTGAATATTCCATATTTTAAAGCATCAATCTGATGCACTTTTAGATGCATTTTTTTGCCAACCTGGGGAGAGCTGGAGAAACTTAACTTCAGCCATGAGTCAAAAATATTATGGCCTCCTTACTAAGTATTATCAGGGATGCAAACTCATCAGGTATGGAAAAGGTGACAAGGACCCGAGCCCCCGACCCCACGGAATATCGGCTTTAAAATGAGGAATAACAGAGGATTTTAGCAGTCAAAACAACTAAAGCAGCAGTGGTAATAATAACAGAAACGCTAAAGAGTCACATCTAATAGAAATATATAAAAGCATTTATTTTAATTGTGTAGCAGTCAGTTTTGAATTTTGGCAGCACTGTTGAGCATTTTGAAAATCTATTATCATGCCTCTGTGCAAGGCTTAGTCTTTCTATCTTTATGGCATCTGGTGTAAAGTAACTAAATTCATAAACTCAAGTACTATACTTGGGTACAATTTTGAGATACTTGTACTTTATTTAAGTATTTCAATGTTTTGCTACTTTGTTCTTCTTCTCCTCTACAGTTCAGAGGTAAATGGTGTACTTTGACTCCACTACATGTATTAATACCTTTAGTTACTTTACAGATGTGGATGAATGATGTGAAATCTAATCAAGTGTTGAATCAGACTTTAGTTCCAACTGGAGTAAATTCACAAGCTACCCTGCAGTATACAAAGTCATTCAAACTAGCTGCACCTTTACCAGCTTTGAGAACACTTTCATGATCAATCATTATAAAACATATCATATATATTATTCTGAAATGGACCAATCTGCACAACGACTACTTTTACTGTCGCTACTTTCACTATATTTTGATGAGAATACTTTTCTACTTTTACTTGAGGAACATTTTGAATGCAGTACTTTTACTAACAGAGTATTCCTACACTCTGGTACTTCTACTTTTACTCAAGTACAAGACCTGAGTACTTCTACTTTTACTCAAGTACAAGATCTGAGTATTTCTGCTTTTAATCAAGTACAAGATCTGAGTACTTCTACTTTTAATCAAGTACAAGATCTATACTTATACCACCTCCGTTTATAGTCTATGAAAAAAAAACTATTAGAAAACGAAGGCTAAAGCTAACGTTAGCAGATAGTGACAATGTATGCTAATTAGCCAGCTCAACGATAATATTGCGACAGAAAAACTTTTCAGTTTACATCACGCTCTGCAGCTCCGACAGGGAGCTCTGCTCTGAACACCTGAACGGCCTGTTCTAACAGCTGTTCACCAGCGGTCCAGTCTGTACCACAGTGACTCCGGACCGCACAGTTAATATTAACGAACGCACCCGTAGGTAATGTGGCTGCTGAAGCTAGACTATCATCGCGGAGCAGCAGAGCCGACAGGCAGAAAGACTCGAGCACACAGCTCGCGCTGCATTATAATATATTTTTTTTAAAACACCATGCGTGTCATGATGGCACATAACAGCTCGCGGCTGCAGATTACTCCGGGTCCCAGACCCCCCCATACCCCAAAAATATTTTTATTGCAGATCTACATGAATCACACAAACGACCTATTTTGGATTCAAAATGGCGAATTTCGCCGAAAGGTGAGTGTTTTTCATGCCTGAAGCCTGGCACACTCACCTGGCATGCTGAGCTCAGCTCCATCATCCTCCTGATGAAGATCTCCACTTGGCGCACAGTGGGCTCCCCGGACACAAGGACGTAGCGATTCTCTAACGGCTAAACAGGGACAGGGTGATCAGGGTGGAATGTACTAATTATTTGCATATCTTTCTGGTAAACATAAGCAATTATAATACAATAAGAAGTGCTACAAATAGTAAGGGGGGGGTGTTACCTTGTAATTAGCGATTCCCTCTTCAGCCCTGAAAACAAAACAGAAGTTAAAATATAGTAAGGACAACTTTATGGTAAAAAAAAACAACAAGCAGTCAATTCAAGAGAACGGGCCCTCTAGTGGGATGTCTGTGTTACTACACGTACAGGATATTTCATTCACTACGGCCCAATCCCAAACCACGCCCTACACCAGGGGTGCCCAACCTTTTTTGAACCGAGAGCTACTTTTAAAGTTGCCAGTCTGCCGAGATCTACCAGTCCAAATAGAGAGGCGTAGCATTACTGACAGCCTACTACCAGGTAAATACACACTTCTACTTGTATAAAACTGACCTTTGTACGATGAATACTTCATAAAATACTGCAGATGCTTTATCTTACCTCTTTCTAATCTACACACATACAAGTATTTAACTGAAGTTACACAACAGTGTTGTTGATGCAGAGTTGGAGTTTATTCACACGTCACATACTACAGTGGGTAATGTTTTCAAGAAACATTGAACAGTGCTGCCACATATGACACAGGGAAAAAAGAAAAGACTCTGAACCCTTTCTTTGCCATTATATAAAAATAGTGTTGCTACAAAAGTATAAATTAGGCTTACTAATAAGACAACTCAGATCTGAAGCTACACAGGAATCTGCTGCCAAAGTGCAATAAAAAAGACAAAATTAATAGAATCAAACCCTTTTTGTGTTGCATTTTAGTAGAGTATAAAAATAAATGCCTTTAAAATAGGATCCAAGCAACACTAGTTTCTTAACCTGAATTGATAGACTATAATCAATTTAAACAGAACAGATAAGCATTCTTATAACATTCTTATACCATTTTGTGCAATAATTATAATGAATAAGTTCAAATAAACTAAAACTTACAGCTGATTAATAACGGTATCTACAGATGTAGCACTCCAGATCAGACTCAGATGGGTGTGTCCCAGTCAAAAGCCCAGCGGATGCCAGTGGCTGGGGGTGTTGCCAAATTGCTAGAGGGCGTTGCCCAATTTCCCCATTTGTTCAATTACAGGATTTAACCATGAGATGGCGCTTCATTCACAAAATACACAAAGACAACTGGGTGTTGTAGAACTTAGTCTGTTTGCAATGTTTGCAGCTCTGCAGTTGTGTTTGCTGAATACTGTAGCATTTAATCACTTATTTGTTACAGTATGGTTTTCACAAGATACTATAATGAAAAAACATCAATATTTTAGATCAAATAAAGTATATAGTTTGCTTTATGCAGTATATTTCTTGTAATATTGTTGGGGTGTTTTTACACAGTACAGTAGATTGAAGTAAATCAATTTATACATTAAGATAAGATAAAATTGACCTTTATTAATCCCGTGGGGAAATTCAGTAGTTCAAACAGCAACAGGGTGAGAGTGAAAAACAGGACAGCACAGATTCACACAGATTAATAAAATCAAAAATAAGATGAGCGATAAAAATAATAATAATGAGAAACTATGAAATAAGAAATGAATAAAACTAAAATGTAATTATCATATAATATATTATAATGTATTGTTTTATTAAGTAATATCATACATTAACCCCATTATAGCAGATGCCACATTGAATGGATGTATTTCTAAATACAAGTTGTAAAAATACTTATATGTAATATTAACCCTTTGGAGTCGACCGTCACGCCGGCGTGATCAGATCACATGACCTGTTCAAGCCGGTGCCGCATAAAAACAACAGTCCGGACAACATTGCCGTGTGTTTCTGTCGAAAGTACTGGCTTGAAACTATATCCCAGTCTTTGTTTCATGCAAAAAGACCCAGTAAACACGGAGATATGATGATATAAAGTTAATACATTTCAAAAGTATGAAAAATGGAAGCACATATTTGAATATCTTTGCCGTATTTGATCATTTTACGAAACGGAAATTACTGGAAACTGTAGATCCTGCTCAACAGGATGTATATGTGTATTTCTGTCGAAAGTACTGGCTTGAAACTATATGCCAGTCTTTGTTTCATGCAAAAAATAAAAAATAAACACGGACATACGATGATATAAAGTTAATACAGATATATTTCAGAAGTATGAATAATGGAAGCACATATTTGAATATCTTCGCCGTATTTTATCCTTTTACGAAACGGAAAATACTGGAAACTGTAGATCAGGGGTGCCCAACCTTTTTTGAACCGAGAGCTACTTTTAAAGTTGCCAGTCTGCCGAGATCTACCAGTCCAAATAGAGAGGCATAGCCATTACTGACAGCCTAGCCTACTACCAGGTAAATACACACTTCTACTTGTATAAAACTGACCTTTGTACGATGAATACTTCATAAAATACTGCAGATCCTTTATCTTACCTCTTTCTAATCTACACATGTATTTAACTGAAGTTACACAATTGTTGTTGATACAGAGTTGGAGTTTATTCAAACGTCACATACTACAGTGGGTAATGTTTTCAAGAAACATTGAACAGTGCTGCCACATATGACACAGGAAAAAAAGAAAAGACTGAACCCTTTCTGTGCCATTATATAAAAATAGTGTTGCTACAAAAGTATAAATTAGGCTTACTAATAAGACAACTCAGATCTGAAGCTGCACAGGAATCTGCTGCCAAAGTGCAATAAAAAAAGACACAATTAATAGAATCAAACCCTTTTTTTGTTGCATTTTAGTAGAGTATAAAAATAAATGCCTTTAAAATAGGATGCAAGCAACACTAGTTTCTTAACCTGAATTGATAATAGACTATAATCAATTTAAACAGAACAGATCTGAATGTTTGCATTCTTATACCATTGTGTACAATAATCATAATGAATAAGTTCAAACAAACTAAAACTTACAGCTGATTAATAACGGTATCTAACTTGAGTTTTTATTATATCAAAAACCTGTTGAAATGCTACTGTTATTTTTACTGTTCCCCAAAAGCGCGTCGGCAGCCTCCAAGAATGCTTCTTTCACAACTTCGCCGTCTTTGAAAGACTTCATGTGTTTCGCAAGAACGTGACTGACACGATAAGATGCTCTGGTAGCAGCCTTGCTCTTGTTGTTGGGCCTGGTGAAAATGGACTGCTGTGCATTTAGCTGTCCTTTCAGGCCCCTCCCCTTTTGGAGCGTAGGGCAGAATTAGGAGGGAATTCCGTCTCGTAGCGTTTGTGCACTGTTTTGAAATGCCGCTCCTAAATTACCCTTCTTCGGTAAAGCCACGCTCGCATTGCAGATGAGACAGATGGACTTTGAATTGGAATAGATACAAAAATAATCATCCTCCCACTCGGAGTGAAAATGATATAGGCCTATGTTGGGCTTTTTTGCTTCTGCCATAATTGCGGTCTTGTGTGTGTGCGGACTGTCACTCCTGTTGACACGGACAACGTCAGCGAAATATTGCCCAATGCCCACCAGCCACGCCCTGACACATGGGGTCACGCCGGCCAATCACAAAGCTTTGATGCGTTCAAGTGCATTATTCTGGACAGGAAGATTATGTTTCAGGACATTAACATACAACAGAATGTTGTTGTTCTATTTTTAGACACATCTCGCGATCGACTGGGAATCTCCCCGCGATCGACCGACTGGTTGGGCACCCCTGCTGTAGATTCTGCTCAACAGGATGTATATGTGTATTTCTGTCGAAAGTACTGGCTTGAAACTATATGCCAGTCTTTGTTTCATGCAAAAAGACCCAATAAACACGGACATACAATGATATAAAGTTAATACAGATATATTTCAGAAGTATGAATAATGGAAGCACATATTTTAATATCTTCGCCGTATTTTATCATTTTACGAAACGGAAAATACTGGAAACTGTAGATTCTGCTCAACAGGATGTATTTACCAGGGAGGGGTGAGGTAATCAGGTAAACGGAGTGATAAGAAACGAGACGAAAAGAGACGAAGAGGGACGGCGGGAGACTGCGATTGAAGTAAAGTGACAGACAAACATTGAGAATTTAGATATAGTTAGATAGATTTAGAGTTTTGAAGATTCAACTATGATGAAGAGAACTCTGAACGTGAGTCAAGCTTTAAGCTTGTTTTTTGACATGGAGGAGGAGGAATCTGTGATGTTGCCCTCTGTGTCGTATTGACAGAAACCGCTTTGAAGCGTGGCACAGATAAAGACAGAAAAAACTGATTTTTGTACATAATGTGTATATATATATTTGTATTATATTTATAATAACACTTTTGCCTTATCATAATGAAATCCCATGCTACCTCAATCAAACTTTCACATTATCATAGTGACATCCCATGTATATATTTCCAGCTTTTAAATGGTTTCGTTGTGTATGTTTGTGTTGTGAAAAATAATATCATTTTCAAAATCTGTTTTTACGTTTTTTTTGTGATTTTGGGTCCAAAATGTTCATATAGTAGAAGATCACTGCTCTAAACAAAGTCAAAAATCTTACATCCAAACGAAATAAATATAATTAATTATGATGAATACGTTAAGTCTTGTTCATTGTTTTTCACTTTTATTAAATGTTTGATATTTCCGGTGGAAATGGTGGACTATCGGACATTCAAAATGCAGCATATTTTCACTCTTACACACATATATTCTCCTTTTACATACATACATTTTCACTCTCACACACTTATATATTGTCACTCACACATTCATGCATTTTGTTCTCATATTCATATAATTTAATGCTCATATTTATACATTTTGCTCTCATGCGAAATCTACTAAAACAAAGTATGTCATGGTGGTCAGCTGTTAAACACAAAAGTGTATCTTAAGGGCTGTAAATATAATAAGCCTGTTGTCAATTTTAGACACAGGCTTATTATATTTACAGCCCTTAATAACATTCATTTTCTGGACTCAATGTGTGTCTTGGCCGTTTTCTTTGTTCCAAGCAAACGAGTGCTTTTTGTTTTGAAATCACTTCCGCGAGTTTCGCGGGCCTCCCCCCTCGCTCCACTGACCATTAGACCATTTAGTAAGGTAAAAAGCAAAAGGGCAAAAACGCCTCTCAGACTCTCTTCCGTTTACTTTTTT